TGCTAGCTTGTTAATTCCGCTTCTTCGCCTGTTTCGAATGTCGCTCTCTAGTGGCATATTTCCATCTTGCTGGAAGCGCATAGGAGAAACCAGTAAAGTTCAGCAGAAGTCCCTCAACCTGGAGTCGGAGGTAGAGAGAGTTAGAGTACTTGGTATGGTATGGAGACCATTAGAAGACGTTTTCAGTTTCGAGATCAGCCTGGAGGAGGAGGTTCGAAACATTGTGGAGAGTCAGCATGTACCTACAAAACGTCAAGTCCTACGGACGATCATGTCCCTGTTTGATTGGTGGCACAGTTCTCAGTTCACGGGAAGATACTCATGCAACGAATCTGGAGGACTGGATCGGACTGGAACGAGACGATCAGTGGTGAAATACTTGAAGACTGACGCAAATGGATCGGATTGTTGGTGAATATAAATGAAGTCAAAGTCCCCAGATGCTTCTTCTTAGGAACGGGAGCTACACCGAATGATTCGCAGATTCACGTCTTTGTCGATGCAAGCGAGAACGCGTCCGCCTGCGTTGCGTATATTCGGAGTATGCGCAATGGGATACCTCAATGCACGCTGATAGCCGCGAAGACTAAGGTAGCACCGTTAAAACCCCTCTCAATACCGAGACTAGAGTTGCAGGCGGCCTTAATCGGCTCCCGACTACTGGACAACATTTGCAAGGCGCAGACGGTACAAGTGGCTGCTCGATACCTCTGGTCAAACTCGACGACCATCCTTGCGTGATTGAAATCTGAGACACGACGATACCATCAATTCGTCGGCTTCCGGGTAGGAGAAATTCTGAGCACGACTACAGTGGACGAATGGCGAAAGGTACAATCGAAAGTGAACGTAGCGGATCAAGTAACGAAGTGGAGAGACGAACCCAGTTTCAGACCCGACGACTGGTGGTATGTAGGACCGGCTTTCCTACTGAAACCAGGCGAGAATTGGCGAAAGGGAAATTCGGAGGAGTTTTTGACGGCATAGGATTTGCGAACAGTCTTGCTACATCATCGAGTCATACCACCGCCGATCATAGATTTTCAACGATTCTCCAAGTGGTCAAGTCTCCAGCGGACGACCGGATACGTTGTTCGAGCGACAAAGGTGTTCCTGGGTATGAATGCTAAGGGTCCACTTACGCAAGAAGAGTTGCGGAGGACCGAAACTCTGATCTGGCAGCAGGTGTAGAAGCAAGAATATCCGGATGAATACGTCACGCTCAGCTACAACAAAGAGAACCCATACGCGGAATCGAAGCAGATCGTAGGATCGAGCGCGTTGTACACTATGACACCGATGCTGGACGACGATGGAGTTCTTCGGAGTCGAATAATAGCTGCACCGATGGTAACAAAGGATGTAAGGTATCCAATCTTCCTCCCCAAGGATCATCGGGTGACGGAATTGCTCGTGGAACACTATCATGTCCGTTTTCTACATGGGAACCACGAAACGGTAATCAACGAGATACGACAGCGGTTCCGGATTCCACAACTTCGCACGGTGATTGCAAAAGTAGCCAAGCAGTGTCAATATTGTCGAATCCACCTCGGGCACCGATCATGGCGCCTCTTCCAGAAATCCGGCTGACCGCTTTTTTACGGCCAATTCACGCACACTGGGGTGGACTTCTTCGGGCACATCTTCGTAAAACAAGGTCGCAGCTTGGTCAAGGGTTGGGTAGCGCTCTTCACGTGCCTGTCCATTAGAGCAGTGCATCTTGAGATCGTCCACAGCCTGTCCACTCAGTCCTGCGTGATGGCTATAAGAAGGTTTGTGGCACGCACGTCGGGGGCAACGTTTTGTTCAGAAAACGGGACCAACTTTGTGGGAGCCAGCAATTTGCTGAAGGAGCAGCTGAAAGCTATCAACGAACACTGTAGTGTGTGACATGTGCATCGCACATGTTAACAAATCCCAAACTCTCAAGGACCACACTCATCGGCACTCTGTAGATTTCCAACGCCATCGAACTGCGATATGCAACGAATGCAAATGAGTCCATAAAGCAGTTCGATGACTTAAAGCCTGACACGACAATAAATGTATTAGGGTCATATTTCACCCAAAGACGCGCAAACAGCGTGTCGTTGTCAAGCGCATTTGGTTTGGCGCAATTAGCCTTCTCCAGAAATCTCTCTCCCAGTCCTCTCTCATTTCCAGTATCGATCGCTGATAGGTGATCCAATACATTATATTACATAAGTGCTTTCAAGTGTCTCCAAGTCTCGAAGCAGAATCGATAGTTAACTCGAGACCGCTAACCTATATCCCCTTGGATCATTCGGAGCAAGAGGCTCTCACGCCGAACCACTTCTTGGTCTACGGGCGCAAGGCATCAACCAACCTAGCCGAGATCTGGTGCAAGACCACGCAACTCTACGTGACAGCTGGAAGCTTGCCCAGAACCTAGTTGATGCTTTCTGGAGCCGTTGGGTACATGAATATCTGCCTATACTTACCCGACGCACCAAGTGGTTCCGACCGGTAAAACCTTTGAAACCCGTTGACTTGGTGGTCGTAGTCGACGAAGGCAAGCGCAACGGATGGCTGCGAGGGAGGACTTGGATGTAGTGTCGGAAAGGATGGTCAAGTTCGAAGAGCAGTGGTGCACACTTCCAGGGGAGTGGTCAGCCGACCGGCAACTAAGCGTGCGTTGCTGGACGTTCAGGGATTATCTGGAGAACCGGAAGAGCAGTGTTCAAGTGAACCGGAACTACACGAGCGGGGGAATGTTGACGAACCCACTGGGCAGTCGCCGCCAGCTTGCAAGTGAGTCCCGGTTACGCCCTTTACGAATGTGCGGTCGAGCATAGCTGTTATGCTGGGGTGAACTGCCAGGTGAAAGAAAAGGATAAAGAAACTATCTATTGAATTGAGTGGAAAGAGTTAGTGCGTCTATTGCTTTATTTCAATAAACCTGCATGTTGTAGTTTGTAGTCAACAAAGGTAATTGAATTTCTAAAGGTGGAATGTTTCTTTTTTAATTAAATTATATGATAGCAGCGATTTGCATGAAGGAGATTGTTGGAGAAAGCTAGTGTGGAAAAAATTATAAAAGGCACCAAAATGTAAGTTTTTCTTCAAAGCGATTTGACCCAAGCTAACACCGAAATAGATGTTCAGCTTTGAAGCTGCGTTGAATAACCTGCTACCAGAGAGGTGTTTCCTTTCCGTCCCGCCACGAAACTTTTATCCAGAACAACACATAGACAAGCATCTGTAAATTATTATTTTCCTAATATGCTTAAAAATTCCCAGGTTTTTCCCGGTTTTTCCTGGTAAAACAAAATTCCTGACATTTTCCTTGTTCACTTGCCACCCTGGATAGATCTTAATGTTTTTCAACGAAATTACTAGAAACCAAAGTTGACTAACTTTTTGAACATTCCCACGCGCAAGTTGGATGCGCTTATTCACATTTATTTACATGGCATGTTCTAACTTGCAAATCAGGATCATGTAATTTCACAGCTAATTGATGATTTCTATTTCTCACTAGTGTTGCAACCAATCCAATGCACTTGTGTTCCCAACAATCTAAGAGTTGACTTATAATCGATACCCATGTTACACCATGAAACAAACCGTCTTATGGCATCAAATTACGCTCAAAATTCAATTCCCTTGATACTTTTCGCGGTTCCTGGGATCCTTTCACAATCGCCATGGATTTTTCTACAGAACTTCTTGAAAAATCTACTTTGAATTTACACAACTGAATTGGAGTTCAAGTCAAAACTCTCTGTTCGATGATTTGCGCATCCCTACTGCGCTCCCCAACCGCAAGACTTTGGCACCCCCTGTGCGATAACAATTGAATTACAACACACAGTCCTTTTCTGTTCTTTTGTTTGACCGAATAAAGTTAGTTGTGCTCCATAGTCAAGAGAATCGAGACGCTTTTTTATTAGATTGACTACGGAAGAAATACTCGTTGATTGTTCGTAGAAACGGAACCCTCAAAATTTACAGTCCACTCGATACCGTTAACACTCTCTTAGAAATTGTATCTGAACTACCTTGGTGTTATCCATTGCATTCATTCCAACATCTCCTCAAAATTCCTCTGGAATTTTCATAAAACTTCTCTTAACCATTTAGTCCAAGGTTCTTATAGAACTGGCTTTTGCCCGATCTTACCCCCCGGACGGTCTTACCGCGTCTTCCCATACCCTATGTGATATCTGCCATAATACTTAAAATAAGTAGTATTTGAGCTATTTGAGCGAAACTACATGAACCACCTCTAAAATACCAACACTTTTTCTGACCTGAATTTCCTATTTTTAAATAGAATGGAACCTAGTGTTTCAACCAGATAGGTTGGAGGAAATTGGGGGTAAATGGAGGACGCATAAAAAAGAGGTAGAACGCTATTTACTGAAGCAGATCGTTGAACTTAGAACCCACGGAGGACAACTTAAACGTTAGAGGTTAGGAACAAAAAATACTCTTATCTACTGCCAATTGATTGCTATTCTTTGTTTGTAAACAGTGTGTCACGTCACAATATATGCGTCGTAGCAGTAGCAGTCGCGTTTTCGTAAGGATAAAATTTGGTTACACTATGATTTGGTAAACGGAAGATTAAAATAGTAAAACAAAATACAAGACACTGTATACTTAAGAGCTTAACATTTAAAATAAGGAAACCGACCCTAAACTGCCTCACAACAGAGTCTTGTGATGTACAGCTACAAAATTACGGGCAGCACGATCACTTCCCACTAATGTGACCCATCCCTATTACTGGTTTAGAATTCGTTACAGGCTTTTCTAAAAACGCGTCTAATCTATATGTACAATACTGATGATTATAAGGGTACTATATGTACAATAATCCTAATCTCGTGTCAGCGGGAAACAATCGTGCATACCTTTTCCCCACTTTGATCGTTTCATCACTTGGGTTAATAAAATCTCATCACGATTCGATAAAAAAAAAGTCCGAAAATAATAATAAAAAAATAATCAAAAATCTAGTAACGACTTACGTGTTGGTGGAGCTGGATGTGGGTTGTACCACCGTCATGTTTGATCTGGACTGGCGCCAGCGGAGGAGGCTGTGCAGCCGTGACCTGTTGTTGGGACGGTTGAATGGCCAGGTAGATTTTGGTTGGCCCGAGCACGCCCTGCTTGCCATTGGATTCCTGAGCTGCTTGGCAAAGAAAACGAAAACAAATTGTTGGTTAATGCTAGGATTCGCAAGCTGAGTTGGTGAATACCAACCTTTGAGCAGTTGTTGCTTAACCTGCTGCTGGACCAGCGCCGACTGCTGGGGAGTGAACTCGGAACCTTGCAAGCCTTGCAGCACTATCCGCGGACCCTGTTGGGTTTGTATTACCTGAGCGGTAACGCATTTGATTACCGTTCCCGGTGGTTGACCTTGCAGTAAGGTCTGCTCAACCGGGTCCAGCGTTTGCTGTTGTTGTAGTTGCTGCTGTTGCTGTAGTTGCTGCTGTTGTTGTAGTTGTTGCTGTTGCTGTAGTTGCTGCTGTTGCTGTAGTTGCTGCTGTTGCGTTGCGGCCGCAAGTTGTTGGAACGTGGTTTGAGATCCACCGGATGTGTTGAACGCTTGCTGCATGACAGTGGTTTGCGTTACCGGCTGCTGTTGGACAACCTGCTGGATGGTCGTTTGTTGGGTCGGAGCCGCTTGTATTACCTGTTGTACAGGCTGAGGTTGTGCCGCGGCTGGAGGAGGATCGACCGCATTGGCCAAAGGAATGATTTGGGCGGTTCCATTTGGTTGCGTTTTGATATGAGCCACCACCTGGGCTTGGTTGTTGCCCAAGGGTCGTATCAGAACTTGTTGACCGTTCAGATTAGCCAACTGCAGCTTTCCGCTGGACAACTGTTGTGCTAAACTTTGTCCTTGGGTAAGCGGGGCAGGTTGAGCCTGGATAGTGTGGACCTGTGGCTGCGGTTGAGGCTGAGCAATAGGTTGCTGAATCTGTATTTGAATCTGCTGGGGTTGTTGCGGCTGTGGTGTCGAGGTTACAATTTGGTGCATTTGTTGCACCTTCTGAACTTGTTGCATTTGTTGGATCTGCTGGATCGGTTGATTCTGTTGAATCTGGATCGGTTGATTGCTGATAATTTTCTGACCACCAATCATGATCCTTTGGCCTCCGATCATGATTTGCTGACCAGGAGATGCAACAATCTGTTGTACAACCTTTTGACCGCCGGCTTGATTGATGATGATCTGCTGAGGTGACCCAGGAGTAGCGTTCTGAATGAGAATCTGCTTTTGAACAGTCTGGCCAGTGGGAGTCGTAGCGACCAACACTTTCTGCGTCTGGACAGGACTCTGTCCTGGGTTCGATTCGACAATAACCTTCTGGCTGGCACCCTGCAGCAGCTGTTGCAGATTCGATTGGGAGACCACCTTCTGAACCGAACTTCCGGTCGTTGCAATCAACTGACCGCTGGAGGTAATTATTTTCTGAACCGCTCCCTGCTGGTTGTTGATGATGATCTTTTGCGGCGTGGCTGGCTGCTGCGGTGTCGTGCTAGTGGCTTGCACCTGGAGGAAGAAAATAGGATCGTAACTAAAACTGAATCTACTGAATAAAAGGACACGGGAGCTCGTAGGACGGTTTAGCAATTAACGAGCTTTGTGCTGAGAGTTCCAAAAACCCCTGTCGCCGCTTGGTACTGATGTTTCCACGAGCAAGACTGGAGACTTTCTATTTCAGGATTAAGTCCTGTGTCCCTTGAAGGTGGAAACTTCAAGATACTCAATGATATGACAAAATAAGGTAGGTAAGCTATAATTCAGAGATACTGAGACAAGTTCACAAGGCTCAATGGACAAATTTGGAAGATTAAGTCCGCAGGACCTCTTTGGCAATCCCGTAGGTCTTGAGAGGTACCTATATACCACAGGGAAATTTTTTGGATCTTAAGGGCATGTTGAGAAGACTAAGTTCAATGGATACACAGAGGAGCTCTTCACCAAATGGGGAAGCTCGGAATATAGAATCTAGTAGACATTGTACTTAGACTAGTCCAGAAATCATCAAAATAAAGCACAGTGAAAATCTAGAAAACCTCGAAGGGGAAGGGAAGGGGAATCTGCAAAAGCTATGAGAAAATACGCTGGGGGTCTAAGATTGGTATTCCTTCATCATTTAAGCATGCCCCTAAGAACCTATTATCGCCATCAGGATTCGTCCTACTGTGACCACTGTCCCGTCAAAATCCATCTAACTTACCTTCTGCACCACCTGCTTTTGGATGATCTGTTTGATGGGCTGCCCAGCTTGATTGCGAACCACTATACTGGGAGACTTATTTACAATTTGCTGGGTAATCGCCGGGGAACTTACCACCGTAGTAGGGGTGGTCTGCTGTTGCACCTGAACCTGTTGTTGTTGCTGCTGCTGCTGCGGCTGTACAATCGGTTGCGGTTGGGGTTGAACTACCGTAGGGGTGGTGGTCACAGAGGTGCTTGCTACATTGCTGGTCGCAACGGAAGTGGCCCCAGCAGGAACCTTTGTGATGATTTTCGAACCCACCTTTGTGGCAATGGATTGCTTACTGGCGGCGGGGTTTGATCCTTCAAAAAATATAGAGAAAAACGCACGATGTAAGTCGATGGGTATACTCTTTCCTACCAGTCGCCAGCGACCGTTGGCAAAGGAATGATACGTCGTTTATTATACAACATAAGGAATCTTTGTAACATACCAGGTGCTGCACTGAGAACATGCAATTTTCCATCGGCAGTTTGGATCAACTGCTGACCCGGGTTGAGACCACGTACGCTGACCTTTCCGTCGGGACCACGAATGATTTGGACCTTTTGCGGACCTTCGGACTTCGCAGGTGGAGGAGACGATTGCTGTTGCGGTTGTGATTGCTGGGAACCGGAAGCGGTCGCTGTTGATGCCGCTACCGGAGATGCACGAGCCGGCTGTGTGATGTTTTGCTGGATAACTTTAGTCGTACCATCGGCGTTTTTGACAATGATGCGACGCTGGACGATGGTTTGCTTGGGAGGAGTGGCACCATCTGTTTGTCCTGGATAATAGGAAAACATTAGAACCATATGTCTAGTTTAGAAATAGAGGAGGATCGAAAAGTACCTTGCTGCTTGAGTTCCATTGCACGTTTCTGATTGTGAGCTGCCCGCTGCAGTCGAAGTTGCTGTTCCATTTTCTCGGTGATTTCCTCTCGCGAGGCCTTACTGGAGATGACTGCCGATTTATTGTGGATGTTGTTTGACGACGCACTGCTACCGTTGTTGGTCGGTGTAGACGAATTGGACGATTCACCCGAAGACGTGGCGGTCTGACGGTTGGGTGGAAGCTTACCGGTACTCGTTCGGGTAACATGTTGAGCTTGGGCTGCAGCCAGTTTCTCCTGCTTTTCGCCGTACAGTTTGATTTCCCACAGTTCCAGTTTGTCTTCATCGATCCACTCTTCGCTGACTTGTGGTTCCGTTTGCTGTGGGGATTCGGCACGCTTTCGCTTTCGCAAACCGGACCGGATGGATTGAACCTCTGCTTTTAATGAAAGTTAATTTATTTACCTTTGTAAAATGTAACACGCTAAGAGAACTCACCTCGAACCGTTTTCGGCAGCTCCAACGGAATGACAACCTTCCGCCGGAGATATTGCATTCGCTCGTTAAAGACACCCGCATACCGGTGTTTGAGAATCTCCAGAGACATAATCTCCGACTCGGTAGTAACCTGCCAATGTAAAAATCACCTATTAACACCCAGAACAAACAGAAATTATATAATCCTACCTGATGCTTTCCATCGCTGGTCACCGGTTTCATTGCCATGTCATCCCACCGTAGGCAGGTCCAGATGATGCGAAGTTGCAGTGCCACCGCAGACAACGTAGTCAAATTCAGCGTACGATACAGCCAGCATGTTTTGAACAACGGTCTCGCACACGGATAAGGCCACACGGAGTTGTTGTTTTTGGCCATATGGTGGAATCCGACCACTGGCAGGCGACCTCCTACACGAGCCATCTTCAGCAATTCATGCATGGGCAGGACCATTATCGAGGTAGTTTGCTTCCGAGTAAAGAAGTAGTTCACAGCCGGATACTTTGGTTTCACCGGGACAACGGCCTTGCTCTCGCTTTTGACCTTTGCTTCCGCCGCCACAGGTTTCCGTAGGCAGATCTTGCCTTTGGAAGAGCTAACGGAGTAAACCCGGGTGCTTCCATCTGGAGCAAGTTCCTTTTCATCTGCTTCCTCCTTCTTGACGCAACGGGACGGAAGGGCAAATCGACGGTTCGGTTTGTGTTCCTTCTTTGGCAGAACAATCACTTCTTCCTCTTTAATCTTAGCTTCGGCATCTTCAACGACGATCGAGTTGTTTTTACTGTTCCGTGATCGTCCTCGACGAGTGGATCGGGGTTCATCACACGAGTTTTCCGATATAGAATTGGAATTATCGTTCAACTTCAAACTGTCGTCCATCTTCTCGGAACCGTTCAATGCCGATTCGCCTTCCGTGCTGACGATTTCCTCCTTGACGACCATATCAGGTGCATCTTCGGTCTTGATTTCGACTTCATTCGTTACGTTATTGTTATGTTCTTCTGGTAACTTTGCCGCAGCCATAGATTGGACGAATTGTTCGTCGTATTCAATCAGGTTCCGATGGGCGCGTTCCCAATCATCTAGGATCGATCGGTACCGGTTCATCGTGAAGTTGGCAAGCATGGAATCGAAGTTTTCCGTTTTGCTTTCCGTCAATTTCTGTTCCAGAATGGATTTGACTCCACCAACCGAAGTGTTGGCCATCGGAGAGGTTTTCAGAGCTTGAACTTTCTTTAAAAGCGGCAGCAGTTCTTCTTTGATTGCTTGTTTTTGCAAGCACAAAGGCGAATAGCACTGACCATTCTCGCAGTCCAATGAGTAGCATTTGTTCTGCTGCACTAAACCATTCACCTGCTGATATTTAGAGCGTAGTGGGAGAATCTTCTGAATCAACGAATCCACCTGTTCGCCATTATTGCGGTTGTGCTGCTTATTTCCATGAAGCTGGTTTCTCACATTTGAATTGTTGCGATGGTTTATGATGGTTTGGAGTTGCTTCTCAACGCATTCACCTAATCGACCTAGAACGACTTCCGGTTTGTGGATCACATTCACATCGATGTCGTCCTCTTCTTTAACATTGGAAAATGTTTGCTCTTCGGCTTCCTTAAGATCCACGCGCCTCTGCAACAACCCGTCCAACACGGAAGCTGTTTTCGCAACCTTGGGATATAGGATACGAGCTCCCGGATTTGACAGTGCCTTGGAAACATCGATTTCATCGAAAGTATGCGGAACATGGAATGTTTCAGTTTGGTTGAACTTCTCCAGCAATCGACTGTCCAACGCTTCGTTTCCAGTCATAAAATCCAGTTCTTCGATTCCGGCGCGCACAAACTGATAGGCTTCGTACGTCTTCCCTTCGATCTTTAACAGCTTCTTGTGCACTTCTGCCACAATCGGTATCAACACATGACCAACTTCATTAGTTTCATGCCTTGGCTTTTTGCCTTTCCTTCGACTAAAGGACATCCATACCCAATCCCACTGTCCGTGGATTCGATATTCTTCGCCCTTCTGTTTCCAAACCTGATGCTTTAGCCCAAGGGAATACTTGACAAAATTGAACGTGCTCCGGTTGCGTTCTTCCTCGTCGTCTCGTTCGCGCTTCTCGCGTTTCTCTAGTTTCTTCTTTTCTTCTCTTTCTGCCGAGGTTATCTTGTACATCTTGGTGTGACCTAGCTGTTCATGCCAAACGCTAGCGAATATCACACTCCTCATGCACGCCTGTAGAATACAAAGGATTCGGGCAAAGTCCTTCGCCTTTGTACAGGCACTAATGGCTCCGATCCAAGTCTTCCTCAATTTGGACCAATTCTGATGCAAAAAAGGCGAGGCCACAGCCTGCTCTAGTGCAATGATCGTCTGCTTGATGGTGGAAATGATCTGTGCCTGAGTGCTATTCATTCCTCCACCAAGCCACTTGAACTCGGAAACCTGTGTTAATGAGAATTTGTGCGACAGATGACGCTTCTTGTCCCGATCTTCGTTCCTCTGGGGCTTGTTCAGTGCAATCGGATTGATTGAGTACTGGTTGACATACGCCTTGAACCCGTTCTCCATGCCCAGCTTGAAATGTAACGTTCCATTTGACATCTGGGTCAATTTGTTACGCGTCAATCGCGAATCTTCGTCCTCTTTGGTCAGTGAACACTTCCTTTTCTGGTCCTCGCTACTGATCGTTCGCGGAGCCAACGATCCTGTCTTCAGCCTCGTCACATGCTTATCACCTGATGCTTTGGAATCGTCTTCCTCCTTACCCGAGGACTCAACACCATTCTCCTCATCGTTAGATTCTTCATTTTCGCCACCTTCTGTTTGCTCATCGACGTCCATTTTTTCATTATCTTCTTTCGACGCAAGTCCTTCCTCTTCCATCAACTTCTCAAGCCGCTGATTGTCCAATTCAATGTACGTTTTCTTATTTCCCTTATGCTGGCCTGTTATCGTCTCCGTGATCGTCATGTGCCGAACAATTTCATCTCTCCTCTCGTCCAGCTCCTTACAAAGATGCATCTCCAAATCAACGGGATCCAACTTTGAAAGTAAGTACTCAAACTGCTTTACCGTACTGAAATACCACACCTCCGACGAATCCTCCGTCTCTATGAAGATTCTCCTTCCTATGAACCAATACTTCCGTCCGTGCCGGTCGTACCCCAGCAGTTCCTGTCTGCAAAGCATGCCTTGTTTTTCCTGTGGCGTAATACAATCCATCACTCCGGAAACCTTATGCAACTTACACAAGGTACACTGCCAATCCTCACTTGGAACATCCACCAGCGGTGGATCTACACACTCCAGATGAAACACCGCTGGACACGTCTCGCAACACAGCAAATCGCCCAACCGATGGCAGATACGGCAATGATCGTCGTAATGGATCGGACCCTCCTGTAGCATATCGTCCCGCACCGTTGTGGTAACTAGAAACTGATCCGTTAAAAACTGTAGCACTCTCAAACGATGTTCCGGTGCCACAAACGGATACTCATTCACGGTGAGTATCTTCAACACCTCCTGATCTAAACTAGGATCACTTTCAATGTAACTTCGAAGCACTTCCGGCCACGTAATAACGTCTATCAAATATAGTGCAATGTTGACACTGTCCTTCTGATCCAGCGGTGCAAAATGCGTCTGCTGGGAATCCTCCTCTCGGAGTATCGCCCTCATTAGCATGATGTGTATTTCCGTCAACAGTGGACTCTGATCGTCGCACGTGATCGCAGCAGCGAAGTCTTCCAACCGAAACGGAGACAAACGAACCAGATTCCTGAACCTTCGGATGATTTCATAGATTGATGTACACTTCAGTACGATGCTATTGGGAACGAGCAAATCTTCAGACGATGCAGGTAGCTCCAATGGTGGATAGTTGCGCTCTTGGAGCCACACCGGATCCGGTGAAGGTTCCTTCTGACAGAGCGCTCCGGTCGACGCACTGAAACTGTGAATCGAGAAATCGGAATCGGATTCGTTCGCTAAACTGTCCTCGGACTCACTGGCTGATCGCATCGAATCATCGTAGGCATCGCTTTTGTCACTGTCATCGCCAAAATCCGAACCATAGTGGTACTCCGATTCGTGGTATGTGTAACCTGTGGAAAAGTGTTGTTTTATGTTTAGAGCTTTCCTGGAACTTCCCTCTTTAAGTAGTCAAATTTTTATTTGTGACCCGGATTTAACCCCCCCATCGATCGTTTCCTTCTTCATCCGAGTTATAATTTTTGAAATCTAGCCCCCCTGAAAGCTACATAATCAAGAAGTCTTTTACTCACTTTTACGACTGTTTCCGCCTCGTCCACGACCTCCGGTGGAACCTCGTCCTTTCGCTGCCTTGCCCTTGGGTGTCTTGACCGGAACCGATCGGCGTGATGTCGAGGGACGACTTTCTTCGCTGCCCTGCGGAGACGATGCTCGCGATGCCGACGGAGTGCTGAAGCGCGAATCCCCGTTTCCTCCATCTTTGCACAGGTATTTGGGCTTCTTCATTAGGTGGTACTGAAATTTACTCTTCGGTCGCTCCATCAGGGCTGTTTGCGACTTCGGTGGTCGCCCACGTCTTTTGCCGGTAGAAGTTCCCTCCCCGGCCGCGGCAGCTGCTGCCGCTGACTTGCGACTACTCATTGCCGTGCCTTGCTATTGATTTACCTCTCTTATGTTTTCGGTAACAGTTCAAACGAATTTCAGTAACGTTTCCTTTAACGTTACACAGCTCAACTTTCTTTGGTGATGTATTTTTTTTTTTCAACTTTATTATAGCTGTTGATTGGAAAAAAAAACAGAATGAAATGAATTATTGGATAAGGTTGTTTATGTCGTGTAAAGATTTGTATATACACCAAAAAAGAAGCAGCGCATGCCGATTTCCATACAATATGGTCAACTTTGACATGATGTAACTTTGTTAACTTATTATGATCAATTACTACAATTACTACAAACATGTTCAATCTTACGATTACAAAATACCAAATTTTCGGTAGCAATTGCCGGAAAGTGAGACAGTGTTCTTAAACATAAATAAACTGCGACCAGTAATTTGAACTATTGCAGTATAAATGGGTCGGTTATTTAAACTCTCTTGGGATGTTTCTCTGGAATCCCTAGAATCCATTCTAAAATCTCCTCAAACTTTGTGACAGTATCCTGAAAATCTAGTCCAATCCAAGGGCATGGTGGTGACCAGCAAATCCCGGTTAAGCATAAAACCTAATGCGGTTTATCCGAAGGGATCATTAGGTAAAATGAGCCAACTGGGCACTCAAAGACAGCAGAGTTTTTCCTGGATCTTGAATTTTCATCTGCGATTGCTCTTCAAACTTTGTCTATGTTTTAATTACTGTGAAAATTCGCTCAGAATTCTTTGGCTGAACAGTGGTCGGAAATGACAAAATCAAACTATTGATTTAACCAAGAAAAATGTGTCGTAAGTGTCTATACAAAAACGAGTCAAACTGGACTAACTGCTACTGAATTCTACAAGCAACATTTGAAACATTCGCAGTTCGGCTGGTTTATGTTTTGAAAAAGGCAAAACACATGAACATTCAACGTGACCCTAATTCACTCATTTGAGGGGGTTAGAAGGGGTGTAGGTGACTTTGATCGATTCTCTTCATCGACTTGCTCTTTCGTTAATAATTCAGCTGCAGACACATTCCTTGATTCGTGTGCCATTCTGAATGCCAGATGTGGACCTCCTTTATCAAACTATGTGGCAGAAATAGCACAAAATCTGTTTATAAAACTGTGGCTATCAAAAGAGAAAGTCGATGAAGAGAATCGATCAAAGTCACTACGTTGGAGTACAAAGACTAAGCTTTAGAAAGAGTAGTTGATATTGTGTCCTAGTTTGCCACCTTCTCCCCTATATGCAGTCAAAAATATTGTAAAATAATGTTAAAAGCACTATGACTTTGCAAGTAATGCACATAGCCACATACTGTCTTCATCAAAAACATGTAGTTTTACTTTGTTTATATTGTTTGCTTGAAAAGTTTTTAATTTAAAACTAATTTTAAAGGGGTAACGATAGAAAACGATTCATATATCCAAAATTATTAGAAATAGAAAACTGATAACTGAGATCTGTTTCATATTTCAAGTAGTTCTACAACTTTGTCTCTTTAGGGGGAAACGTTAGGTTTTTCAGTTTATTCATAGTAGGCAATCATATTTTTTTTTAAATTGTAGAACTGTGGGCAATACTAATGTGAACAATTCCTCTGAAGACACTATTTAGATTAAGTCAATTAGTTTATTAACAATTCAATTAAGTTCGTGATTTTGCCAAGATCTCCTTTAGAATTATTCCCCTTCAGAGTTCTGTTCAGAATTCCTCTAAAATAAATTAAACATTCTCTCTTGGAGTCCCTTAATTTCATTATAACAGGGCAGAAATTCTCTGTAGAACACCCCAAAAAAATAAATGGGATTCCATTCGAATGTTGAACGATTATTGCAAGAGTTGTTCACTGATGCTTATTAAATTCGATTAATTTTTCCTTAAATTTTGCATGTAATTCACATTAGAATTGCCTTGAAACTTTTCTCAGAATTATCTTGGAGTTCTTCTCTAAAATCTTCAGCAAATTCAAACTAAAAATTCTACTCTTAATTCACACAACTGACTTGGAAATCTTCTCTGAGCTACCTTGGTGTTATTAATTGAACTAATTCTTAAATCTGCTCAAAATTCCTTTGGAATTTTCATCAAAATTATCTTAGGTAATTGTTCTTCAAAGTAATTTATACTGAAAATCTAGTCCAATGGTGGTCTGCATTTTTCTCAAGGTCCAGAATATTATGTTTCTTTCGAGGGGAGCACGAAGTATTCTTTCCACATTTGTAATAGAATTTCACGGGCTTTTCCCGTTTTTTTTTCGATTTCCCTGTTTACTGGTTACTCTGCAAGGGTCTTGAATTTGTTTCAAGATCCAAAATATTATTATTTTTTCCGAAGAGAGAACCGAGTAGTTTTAACCAATTTGTTATCAAAATTTCCGATTTGTTCGCAGATTTCCCGGTTTACTGGTCACTTTAAACCGTTGTATCTGACATCTGACCGGTGTAGTGACAAAACGACGTATCAACACGGTGTATGTAACAATCAAGGTTTTTAAATGACTAAGAGGGGCGTGCTCGCCTTCGTGAATGAACCAACAAGGCGAAACGCTTAGTTGCCGTGGCTTAAGGAATTTCGCAGGGAGATCCTTATTCTCGTAACCACTTCGAAACATTTAAGTGCACAAATATCAGCTTCTACGATACGTACCACAATGAAACTGTTACTCCACGTTACATGATGTAGCAATTTGATGTGAAATGGGGCATTCATTTCAGAGATGTGTGTAATCGAAAATTCGAAGTGAAATGCAAGTATAGCCTACGTGGTGGCCATTTGTGGACTCTACAAGGAATTACCTTAATATTCAATGTTATATTTCGCCTAAAGGTAGCCTATATAGATATAAACAGGTATGAACCATCATATCATACACACTTAATCACGGCTTCCCTGTTAGGTATTTTTTTTACAGTTTTCGAACTGTAAATCACAACAAAATACCGATCATTCAGCTATTTTAAATACAACTACTGATGTTCGGTAGCCATTGCAACAAACTACTGAATACGGTAATAGTAATTACTGGATGTACGGTAAATTAACAGCTTTACGGTGAATAACTAAAACTCAGTAAAATTAAACACCGAGTTTTTAGTACTGATTAAAGTCTTCAACCGAAATTCCAAAATTACTTATCACACCAGTAAATGGAATTACTTTACGTCAACCACCTCCGTTTCACCTCACGCGCTTGACTTCGGAATTTTGTGTGTGAAAACTGTAAACCTTTGTGAAAATCAGTGAAGCGGCTTCCAACACTTACGGAATTGGGCATCGACTTCCAGGTGTTTTATTAGCTTGAACCAAACACTTTGAATTGCCTGCGGTCGAGCTCCAGACTTAAGCACGCAATCTGGCACTCTAATAGCGAATTCGTTTATTATCGGGGTTTGAACCAGTTCCAACCCAGTGCGAAACCGAACTTTTTGTCAGTGCGAACCTCAACCTGAGCTGGGTTTTAAAAACAAACGATCAAACTGACGTTTGTCAGAAAACAAGCAGTCCCAATCTTGATACCCGATCCAGGTTGGAACTGAATAATAAACAAATTCGCTATAAGAATGCAATCTAGCCAATCAGCCGGTCGAGCTACGATGAACCTCTGACCGCTAAAGCTGGAGTAGCTCACGTTTAGTTTAAGTTACAGCAAGATCATTCCACCCCTAAAAATGTTAACCTGAATCCTCGAATAAAAATCATTAAATATTCGAATTATTTTATTTATTATTATTCACTAATCTTGTTTTTATTAAAAGTAATGAAAAACTTAGCAAAAAATGTAAACAAATAAAAAACTGAAAAAGACAGCAATTATTTAACCACAGTCAAAAAGGATTAACTCTTAGAAAAAGTTATTCTTGCAAACATAGTATCTCAAAACATAGAACCTCAGTAACGACATCTCTCGGGCTTCTCGCGGAAAATAAGCTTGCTCGCTAACTCGCAAACAATATTACATAAAAGTGCTATAGAATGTATAGAAACGTCAAAGTGATCCGATGCCAGCGCTGCGGCGAGCAGTTCGCGGAACTTATAATATTCAAATCAACCGTTAAATGCGTGAACGAAGATGTACAATGAAGTGTTACGTCTGTTTGTCTGTGATTTTACCGACTAAAACGGTAATTTTTGACAGTTCAGATATTTTGCGATTTACTGAGTTTTCAGTTGAAGCAAAAGCTACTGAGATGTTTACCGAAAACGCAGCTGTTTAAAACCCTAATAAAATTTTACCGACTTCGGTAATCTAAACTCTGTGTGTAGCGAAACGTTCAAATTTCTGATATTACAATTCTTAAGGTATACTCTAGGGGCATCCCACTCTAAACTTTGTATTTCTATCGATATACCTATAGATACCTGGGAATATTTATAAATACTTTAGAAATACTTAAGAAATATCTAGCGATGGTTTGTTTGTTCGGTTGCAATAGCCTATAAACAAATTTAATTTGTTTATCATTTATTATATTGTTACCGAACGGTAACAGTTTTTTGTTGCGTATAATTGTGAGACGATAGGACACAGTATTCAGTATGCTCAGAAAGTTAACGGTCAATTTGTAGTTGATAGCCATCTATACGTTTCGTGACGGGTGGCGATTGGACTCCCATAATGAAGAGGGCAACGATGGAACAGCGGATAGAGCAAAACGCATAACGAAAGGGAGTTGCTGGGTGGTGGATGAGCTATGATGAAGAGGAGAAAAGGTCAGTGAGTCTGGAGCTCTGGAAGAGAGTGGATCTGGTGAAATTTGGATGGGGTTCAGAGACGTGAGGCACGTTGTTAAAGTGCACTTTTGGAAGGTAGTGTGTGAAGAGCCTATATACTGTGCCTTTCGGAGACCGAGATTTCAACCTTTGGAACAGCTAACATCCGTGGTCTCCCAGGATCTGGGATCAGTCCACACTACAGCCGCCAATAGAAACGAGGATCGGTAGCTTGACATAGACAGCGGCCGGTTTCTCTATTGCAGCAGCGTAAGTGTTTCACCTC